GGGTACCGAATTCGGTACTTTTTAAGGTACCAACCGAATTCCACAGTACCGACTGAGCACCGATTCACGTTATTTCAAGCGGTGCCTCGTTTCGGTACCCGTCCTTCATAAGGAGAACTTGCCTAGACAGCTGCGCATGCGCAAGAGCGTTATGTCGTCGGTCGCTGTGAGCCAGTTGTAAACAGAGCAGCATGGTAGAAAGAACGCACGCTAAAGCTTGGGTCCACTTCACTAAATGTGATGGGTAACTGGGTGATGATGAAACCAGCGACAACAATCTAAGTGAGACATCCTCATCTTAATCTACTCCGGTAGGTAAATAAAATGTTTAAGATAACGTTAGCTTGATATGTTAGCTTCCATTGCCACCGTTGTTATCAGCTAATGGTGCGTTCGCTTTCTCCTCGGAAATTCTAACTTCCCAGTAGGAAAAATCAAATGAACAAAGACGGCAAAAGGAATGAAGATACACAGTAAATTTAGTTCACAGTAAAGATGTTTGCTTCAGTTTAATTATCAGCTTATAAAACTACAAGGACGATGTTAAAATACAAACAGTTGTATGTTATTTATCGTGATATTTATCAAATACGGTTATATCGTCGTCATCGTCTTCCTCCGCTTATCCGGGTCCGGGTCGCGGGGGCAGCATCCCAACTAGGGAGCTCCAGACCGTCCTCTCCCCGGCCACCTCCACCAGCTCCTCCGGCAGGACCCCAAGGCGTTCCCGGACCAGATTGGAGATGTAACCTCTCCAACGTGTCCTGGGTCGACCCGGGGGCCTCCTGCCGGCAGGACATGCCCGAAACACCTCCCAGGGAAGGCGTCCAGGAGGCATCCTGACCAGATGCCCAAACCACCTCAACTGACTCCTTTCGATCCGGAGGAGCAGCGGTTCTACTCCGAGTCCCTCCCGAATGTCCGAGCTCCTCACCCTATCTCTAAGGCTGAGCCTGGCCACCCTACGGAGGAAACTCATTTCGGCCGCTTGTATCCGCGATCTCGTTCTTTCGGTCATCACCCAAATCTCATGAGCATAGGTGAGGACTGGGACGTAGATCGACCGGTAAATCGAGAGCCTGGCTTTCTGGCTCAGCTCCCTCTTCCCCACGACAGATCGGCTCAGCGTCCGCATCACTGCAGACGCTGAACCAATCCACCTGTCGATCTCCCGACAGGCGGATCGGTATATGGTTATATATTGAGAAAAATATATATTTAATTATAAAAGAGAATTAAAATATTAAACACTCAAAAGTATCTAAAATTGGTACCGGATCGATTCAAATGTCAAAGGTACCCATCCCAACTAGGGATGGAGGTGAAATCCACAACAGGTTTTTCAGGGTGATGCATGCTTTCACTTCACACCATTCAAAAGATTCTCCAGTAGCACCAGTAAAAGTTGCGCCTTTTCTAACACCAAAGGGGTCTGAATCGTCCGCAATCATAAAGTGTTCTGTTGGGAAACACCACTCTGGAACAAAAACTCTGTTCAGACCATTCAGAGAGATACCTTTATGTTTTCATGCAGGAAGACAGAAAGCCAAAAGGTAAATCTAGCACAGTGGAGGACAGACGTAACAGACATCAGGCTAACTGGTTTTTAAATCATAGGATAATGTTCAACAGTGAGACAACCTCCATTTTAAACTACATGAACTTTAACATAAACGACAAAACAACTGCAACAAGAATTACTCCTAAAATATGAAAAAGTGTCCAAATAAAAACAGCAAAGACCCAGAAAATAACACTTTCATGTCAATTAAACAACCAAGGAAGCTGCTTTGTAAACTTTGGGTTTGATTAATATCTGTTTATTAATAAATAATATTGCCATTTTATTCTGCTGTGTTGGGACACGATTGAGTTTGTCATTTTCATTATGCAGTGTCAAGATTTAATACCGAAACAGTTTTATTCTCATTCTTGTTTGATGAATCACATCACAAACACGTCATCTTGATTTTAACAAAAGGACAAAAGACACATTTAAAGAGCTCAGACCTGCTATATGCACACAGTCGGTGTTTTATAGTTAGGGTATGGAAACCTTTGAGAATGTGTCTGCTTAAGTCATTTAGTCACAAGTCATTTACCAAAGCTTAGATTAGGCTCTGAAAAGGGTGTAGTATGAGAAACGGTGCTTATTGTTTTATGATTTAGTTCTTGTGAAGCAGCAAGTTGCACAACACCGGTCAGAGAACTCCTACATTTAACATCAGACGGGACATAGATGGCCTGCGTTTGATACAGGGTACGACCCTCCAGAGCGCTGGTGGTAGTGAACTACAACATAGCCACAGCTGCACTGAAGCTCACTGACAGAGGCGAGGTTGCAGAACACAAGTCCCTCCGACCACCACCAGCTGGCGAAGCGGATTAAAGGTTGGTTTATGCTCGACGCGTCCGCGAGGTTCGCACGGCTCCGTGCGGAAAAGTTGCATCATTTTAACAACCACGTCCCTCCACCGCTCCTCCGCACGCCCCAAACTTTCCACACCGCGCACCTAGGACATTTTCTAACCACGCGGACGGTCGGAGGCGGAAAAACATGGCGGACCGGCAAGAACTAGTATGGCAGAGGTTCGTAAATACAGACATTTGTATGATTCAGCTCTCAGAGATCACCGTGATCAACATGTTGTTAATAATTCTTGGAGAGAAATAGCTCGCACTGTCGGAAAAGACGAGAACGCTGTTAAAAAATGCTGGAATGCCATGTTGTAAACAGTAATTTTTACTTCTACTATGGTGTAGTGTTGGATGCATGCCATAGAGCTCCATGCTGCCCCCTACAGTTTGGTAGAATATTGGCTCACCGCAGAGACGAGCCGCATGAACCATAAACGCTGCGAGTTGTGAAGCGCGTTCCATCCGCGAGCCGCATCACCAAGCGGGAAAAAAATGCGTCAAGCATAAACCAAGCTTAAGTGTCTTGCCCAAGGACACGATGACTGCAACAGACCTGCATCGAAACTGCAACCCTTCGGTTACGGGGCGAGCTCCTACAGTGCCGATAAGTTTACACGGCCTCTTCATTCAGGGTCAGTGATGCTGTGAAGCCATAACATCCACAACAAAATAAGATGCCAAAATGGCCCTGTTGAAACGTTTACACACCCCAGTGACTCTGGCCTGAAACAAGAACGTGACACACAGTAGCGGTTTTAGGCACGAGCAGACAGGGCAGTTGCCCGGGACGGCATTTTTTCATGACACAAAAGGGACGCACAAGCGCTGAGTAAAAAATAAAAAAGAAAGAAATCTGCGCCGCACCGAGGTTTTCTATTATCTGTCATACCACAGTGTCTGGATTGGAAACAGCAAGTTGGCGCCCCCTGCAGCTGCAGGCGCTCCTGCTGACTGAGAGGGTTCACGTGCACCGTGTGTCTATGAAGAAGAGGAAGGGGAGGGGTGCGGCGGGGAAATCCACCTCTGGGTCTTTCCCAAATGAAATGAGTGGGAAGGGGCTGAATCAACTGTATTAACATGGCTAAAGTCAATCACATCTTGATGTTCTTCCATTTAACGCACATTTCGTTCATAATATCATAAACACAGGCCTATCATTCTTTCAGCTTTTTCTGAATTGTGTGAAATGGCCGAATAAAAAAAGGAAAAACAAAACGATTTTGTGCCCCCCCCCCCCCCCCCCCCCCCCAATCAAGGTCAAATTGTTTAGTCCTGACTAAAGGACACTTATTGAGTCAAGAGCCAAACAGAAGAGATGAACATAAAAAGGCTAAAACCACCAGGTGCCTGATTCAGGAAAAAAGAAAAGAAAAAAGAAGAGAAAGATAAAGGTATGTACGATCTCGTGATGCATGTTTTCAATTTTTTGAACCAGTTAACTGGGATTTTAACGGTTAAATTCGGTCAACTAATTGCTAACAGAGCTAATAGGGCTGAAATATTGAAACGAATATTCAAATGGTTCAAAAAAAGTCCTTGAATCATTTTTTACTGATTCAAACTAGGATTTGTTAAATGCTCGCTGCAGCCTGTAGCCTGCCTGAACAACAACAAACACATGTTGATCATGTTCACATAATAATAAATAAAACAACTCTACAAGCAGAAGAAAACTTCCCAGTCACCACTAACTATCCTGTTTATTTATTGCAGATGGCTGCACGGATTATTTTTTACATGATTTGTTCTGTAAAAGTTGGCATTTTTGGTAGTCTACAGTTTTTTTATGTCAGTTTAAATTACAATTTCAGAGGCAATTCTAAAATATTATGGATCATGATAAAGATCTATTGGAGATCTACCCCAACTTTTGGACTGCTCTGCCAGTCACTGTGGCTCAAGCTGAGAGGAGCTTTTCAAAACTTGATCAAGTCATACCTGAGGTCACCTATGTTTCAGGGGCGGCTCACTAACCTGGCTCTGATTAGTATCAATCACTCAGTAGGGGAGCAGATTTCATGTGATGACATTATTGATGACGTTGCATCAAGTTTAGGTTTTAATTTTAGTTTGTGTTTTCTGTTCTAAGTGCAATGCTGTAGTGGTTATCTTTAGTTTGTTATGTGTGAAATATTTTTGCTATTTAGAATATTTATTATATATTATGTGCATATATTCTTAATATTTAGTTATTGTTTGTTTTTGTATATTTGATTCTATATATTTTGATACAGTATATAATGTATAGTGCTTTACATTCTGTCAACTTCATAGTAATTAATGTAAATATGTGCAACTTAGAAAAATGAATGTTCAATAGTCGTTCTACCACACCATATCACTATCATACACCAGGAGTGAGTTTATGTTAAAACATAAACAGAGCAGAATCATAAAAAATCATAATAACAAGAGGAGACGGACGGCGTGCCTGACATGCTGGCGCCATCTTGATAGGAAACGTGACCTCTAATAAAACATGCCTGTTTGTAGAAAACATGCGTGTGTGCATGCAGGTGGGGTGGCGGTGGGGGTTGGTGAGGTGGTAGGTGGCGGGGGGGGGGGGGGGGGGGGGCTCAAAGGGGGCCTCGCCCGGGGAGTAATTCCATGTAGAACCGCCACTGTTGACACAAGTGAGTTTAAATGGCCGCTGAAGGTAACCACCCTCACCTGTGATCTGCTTGCTTGCATCAGTGTGTGATTACAAAAGGTGTGTGAGTTTTTGAGCTCCTGAAAAACCCCGTGTCTTCCATCCAGAGCTGCGCTGATGTTTCTGAGTTACGGGAAGATCTAAATAACTTTCACAGGATCTGCAAGAAAAGGAAATTGAACTCTAAAAGCCAGGAAAAGAATCATAAAAGATACTGATAGCGCCAATCTGCGGTGTTAGAACGCTGATAGAGAAGCGGATGATTAGGAGTTCTGTGGAAACCAAAACACACATTTCTGCAACAACATGCAGAAACATTAGTGATGCCAATAAAACCCCTCAAATAACTTTGGCTGACATTCAGATCTCCCTCAAAGAATATAACGTGGCTGTTCCTAGAAGCCCAAAAAGGATGTAATTGAAGAAAAATGGGCTACAAGGCCGAGTTACCATAAGAAATGCCACAAAGCATTTGGCTTCTAAAATGCCCAACAGCTCAGAGACAGGCCTCGACATTTCTGGAGGGAACATTTTGGTCCCAACCATAAAAATTATGTTTGGGGAGGAGTCAACACGGCTTATGATGAAAAGTTCACCATTCCTACTATGAAACACGGAGGTGGTTGACTGATGTTTTGGGGATGTGTGAGTTACCCTCATGTAAACCCCTCTTATCTCTATTAAGGTGGCGCGACTCAGGGTTGCGAATGACCACAGTCACCAATTCTTGTCATGTGTCTTGCCCATCTATGTCTGATCTCTGAATTGTGTGTACTGAAACTAATTTCCCTCTGGGATTAATAAAGTATCTTTGATTGATTGATTGATTACCAAGGCTCTGGATCATGGCAAAAAAAATCTGAATACTGAAGGAGAATTTGTGCTCATCAGCCTGAAAGCTGTGCATGGTCACACAAAACACAAGAGCAGGTGGACCTGCCGCTGGCTCCAGCAGAATATGAAGGTTCTGGAGTGTCCACCTCTGTCTCCTGACCTCAGTTTCCTTGGACCACTGTGGGGTGTGCTCATGACAGATGCACCATTAATTTAGAAGAACTGGAGGCTTTCATAGCTTTTATACACAGAACATTCACCACAGTTACCACAAAAGACTCCAAGCTGTCATTAATGGCAAAGTGGAAACACGTCATTCTTCTATTTTGGGTTCTTCTGGCATGTGTAGACACCTCATCAGGGTCATTTAGGCATTTTATTGTGTTATGATGATTTGAAATGAGTTCACACTTCATAACATCACTGAATAAAAAAGGTTTTTGTGTTTTCAATCATAGATTTTGAGAAATGCCCCCCCCCACCAAAAAAAAATCACCACCATCTTACGGCACACCTCCTCCGTCACCGGGAACATTCACCGGTCTGATTGAAGTTATTGGCTTACCTCTGAATGTAAACCTTTAGCATTAACCTCTGAGACTTTTTCCTTTAGCTGTGTCCAAAACTACCTTGACTGATGTGCGCAGCGCACGTGGCTGAGAGGAAGCTAGAGACAGACGGGGTCCGGACGACTTTTATCTGTAATATTTATTCACCGACAGAGTTCAGCGGCCTAGAAACCAGAAGAAAAGTTAAATTACGTGGAGACACTTGAGCCACCTGACTGACAACAATATTAGAGTGGTACATGACATCACTGTGCATTACTCAGCTAAATGTGTGTGAATGTGTCAGAAGACAAAACACAGCTGCCAAAGCAGCGCAGCATCCATCCTGGCTTGTTGTCAAAGGAGGCCCATAGGGGGCGCCACCCTCTCAGAGGTGAAAGATATGAGGCTTTTTTTAAGCTAGCCAACTGTACAAAACATCTGCACCAAGGTACGAGTCTAAACCTCCCGGCCAAGCGGGGTTTAGCTGTTTCATCTTGTACCGAACTGTCACAGAGCTGTCCGTCATTTAGCACGCTGGCGTCGGTCACGGAGGTCGGCGCTCCCTTCCAGAGACAGACACCTTAACTACAGGAAAGCTGTTCTGCCTCACAAAAAGCCCAGCTGCACTTTGTAACACTATGTTTTACCCTTACAAAGACCACCTCGTTCCCTGATATTTCACACCTACGTTCCCAGAATGCACTGCTGTGTGCCGTTCTGTCAACATCAACGTAACGCAAGACTTGGACCGCAATGAAGAAGTGAGGAAATGAACAAATGATTTTCTGTCCTGTGAAGGTTTAAACACGACTGACGAATCAACACATACAATGAACCCAGTTCGTTCCCATAGCAACAACCAGAGTCGGTGCTATCTAAGCAGGTAAACTGCTGAGCAGGTGTATTTTTTAAAGCAGAAGTTGATGTGATCATGTGACGCTGAGAACAGACTGCTATAAATATTTCCTGTTATCCAACACATTCTCACACCTGACGCGCGGTGACCAAGCATTTGTTTCTGACGTGCTGGGAGCATCGACATATATACTGGACAATTCGTTTCCATAGACTCCAATAACATGTTTTTGAGGCTAAATGGGAGGTGGCCACCACCGCCATTTTGACCGTGTCACAGGTTCCGTCAAGCGTAGACAATTCCACAAAAGGGAAGAGAGGTGGAGCTGAGGGTGGGGCTGTAAGGCTGGGATCGACTGATGACACCCGGTCGAACTAGCTACAAGCTAACCTGAAGCTAACCCAAAGCTAACGCGGAGGTGGGAGCTAAGCTAACGGAGGTAGCAACCTAGCTACAACCGGAGGAAACTGTGCACAACACCAGAGCTTCTGAGTCAGAGATACGCCGGGCTGACCGCTGGGTAAAACCGGGTGGAACACAGAGGTCTCCGAGAGCTCCACAAGCCGGCAGCCGCACAGCAGACCAGCGCCGCTGCGATGAGATGCGCAGAGCTGCCGCTGGGGAGAACCGGGTGGAAAGGTTTCCATCCCAGAGCTCCACAAGCCGTTAGCCTGCGCAGCACACAGAAGCCACAATCAGACAGAGATGCGCCGAGCTGCGGGGAGGGGAGAACCGGGTGGAACACAGAGGTCCCCCGAGAGCTCCACAAGCCGATAGTCGGAACCCAGCTCCACCAACATGTTATATTTCAACCCATTTTCTAAAGTGCAGCATTATGTTAAATGCACTGGGTTTTACCCTATTACATTTAAATTTCATGGTTAAACAGTACATGTTAAAATCTAAGCTCAGCTCGGCAGTGACCTAAAATACATAAATATAATTTTACTTACTGAAAAAAAATGAAGTGGAGACTCCTTGGACGCTCTATTAGTGCAATTAATGCCACAGCAAGTCATTTTGCCCAACAATTGCACAAAAAATATCCAAAACAGAAAACACAAACACAGAGACTCAAAATCCCGGAACAGTTTCCAAGCCAGACCGAGGTTCTACTGAGGCCCATGGACGTAATTTTGGGGGGGGGGGGGACAGGGGGGACATGTCCCCCCCACTTTTTCCAAAGTCAAGTTTTGACCCCTGCACTTTTTACCATCCAAAAACAATATTACGCTATGTTAAATTGACACTGGTTGAGCTCTAGGACCAAGGAAAACAACTGTTTGTGTTGAAGCCTGTTTCTCTTTAGAACATACTGTAAAGATACCCCCCCCCCTCCCCCCGTGTCCCCCCCACTTCTAAAGTGAAAATTACGTCCATGCTGAGGCCTTTCCACGGAGCTAGCTCTGTGGTCACGTGGGTCTGATGCTCATTAATTATACAGAATTTTAGACTTTTAATACACTTAAACAGAAGAGTGAGAAAAAAATTCACCCCCCTCAGAGTTGTCATGAGTGTAAACTAGATCATTTAAACCAAAAACATGTTCTGGTACCAGGCTGTAAACATGTTTATTTCTGCTGTGAAATTGGTATTTTTAACATGGGAGTCAATGAGGATTTGCTCACTTCTGACACCAGCCCCTAGTGGATGAAGGTGGAACTGCAATTGTTGGTACTTCTGGGTTGGCCTCAATTTTTTAGCCGCATTGTGGGGGCTTGGTCGGGAGGCAACGCGCCGTGCCAGAGCGTCACCTTCCAACGCTCGTTGTAAAACGGAGATTTAACCAAATTGTGACCTTTACCCTCTTGTATTTTAACCTTCCCCTCACCCCCACCCTAACCTTAACCCACTGGAGTGTGCAAAGCTTTGTTTCTTGTTGTATCGTCCGTCTCAAACACGGTTAACGAGAAGTTTAGAAGGAGAAACTGGGCTAAGGCAGTGTTGCCAACTGTTTTTGACTGAAAGTAGCTGAAGTTCCCCCCAAAAGTGGCTAGATGTTGCCAGGTGACGTCACGTGCTAATTTACATATTGATGACGTTGTCACGCCACATTGGCGTTCATTTTCCCCATAGCATCTAAAAGATATACTAAAAGGGAGGAAAATAACAAAAACTGTTATGTGTTAAAGTTATTAATTAGTATGATTAAAATGGCCCAAATTGCTTTGATATGTACAATAAATTCCAAAAGTATCAATAAAGTGACATTAAGACAGATATGGTGTGGTGATCCAAACAGTTCTTTTGTAGGATATAACTCAGACCTCCTGCTCTCCTCATTCTCAGACATTTTCCTAAAAAGCTGTTTTTTTACACCTCGTAGTTTCTCTACTTCTCTGTTGTGTATTCTCTCCATCGCGATAATAACGGCGCACCGAGCAAAAGGGAGCGGGTGTCTCATAGTATAACCATCCCTGTGTCACTGAAGGAAATTCAGATGAGCCACAGAGCTGCGTGTGTAAGCGGGACGGTAGTTGAAACTCCCGATGACTTTATTTGTCAAATGCAGGAAAAACCAAAGTGTCTGACGGCTGCAGAACCAGAGATCGCAGGTTGACGCCCGCGCCGTCTCTAGTAGAAGCGTGAGCCTGCAGCAGCAGCAGAGGTATGTCGGTGGTCTGCAACTCTGCAACTGTACCTTTGCCTTCGGCGAATCGGCCCAGCTGAAAACGGTTTATGATTGGTCAGTCCTCGTGCACATGTGCAGATTATCGTTCTCTTTCCTTACTCCCGGAAGATCGGTTCAGAGTGCAAATGGTTTCTTTGTTGCTAATCTGTAGGGAATATCTACAAGGAAGTTCTACAGAAAGTAGCAACGGGTCCTGAGAAATGTCGCCAGGTTTGTCGCTAGGCGCTTTTTGGAAAAAGTCATTGAGGGGATCAAAAAGTCGTTAGGAACAGCGACAAAGTTGCTGCGTTGGCAACACTGGGCTGAGGTTAGGATGGGGTTGAGAGGATGGTTAAAGGGACTTTACGGACTTTTGAATTTTTATGCTCGCGATTGCCCCCTCAGGCCAAAAACGTAACGGCAGCTTCAATAGTAGGCTTGTGCACGAGGCGCGCATGCTGTACGTGCACACTCCTTACCGAAAATAACAGCTGAGACAGTCCCGCGTGTGTATGTGTGTGTGTGTGTGTGTGTGTGTGTGTGTGTGTGGCCCAGAGGACAGGAGAACACACAGCTAATTAATTAAATAATGTGGTTCTGTAGCTTTCTCTTCAGCACAGCCGACAAAGGTTTATGATGGGTCAGTCCTCCTGCATGCTCAGATCATTCCCTTCCCTTGCTTGAAAAATTGTTCCAAAATGAAAGTTGAACCCACATCTTTTTTATCTGTGAATTCAATGCCGTTCGGCGAGTCTCAAATAAAAATTTGGGCATCTTACTGTAAAAAATATACCATTAATGTAAAAAATAACTCTAAATAAACTATGTTCACACCCAGAATTGAACCCAGGTCTTCTGCACGAGAGTCAGACACCTTACTAGGTGAGCTAAAGCACCAGTAACATTTTTTGTACCTGTAACATTTATATCCTTGATGACAGCTGAAACAACGTTCAAAGAACGGTTTGGAGTGAAAATGGCTATTTTGTTGCTAATTAGCAGGAAATATCTAGAAGAAAGTTCTACAGAAAGTAGCTAAGGGTCCTCAGAAATGTAGCTAGCTTTGTCACTAGGCGTTAGGAACAGCGACAAAGTGGCACTGCCTCTCTCTCTGCTGCTAAAGCTACGGATAGCAAATGCTACGGGCGATGCCTGAGCGTGAACGCGCATGAAGCAGCCTGCTCGACCCGAGCATCTCTCTTTTTCTGTGATTTTACAGAAAAACAGGCAATCACAGTAAAAATGCCAGGGCTCATTCTACAGGACCAGGGCATTGCAGGAGAATGTATGAAGAAGACATTTATTATTTCTATACATGTTTTGGCTGTCAAACTTCCATAATGCCCCTTTAAAGAGCAAGAGGTTAGAGGTTAAATGTTGGTGAAATGTGCTCCCAACGCGTCAGAAACAGATGCTTGGTCTCTCTTTGTCAGTTTTAGCCGCTTCGGGTGTGAGAATGTGTTGTGTTATCAGGAGAATCCTTTCACAGAGGATGTGATTTTACCTCTTTCTCCACCCCCGTACCTATTTGATCCAAACCAGGTAAAGATTTTTAAAGATTTTTAGGAAACACTTCGAACACCGGTCACAGACTTGGCTCATAGCTGAGCTAACAAACACATTACTGCTGCAGATGCAGACAGGAAACGAAAACAAGCAACACAACCCGTCTCCATCCGTCTGCTAGGACGAGAGGAGCTTCAACTCTGGGACAGAAGAACTCTTGATGAGGACTTTCGGCTACGCTACTTTCCAGATATTTTACTTGAAAAGAAAAACAGAAAAGCCTGAAATGTAATTAAACCAGCAGATGAAGCAGACGCTCTCTCTGACTCATCAGTCAGATTCTGTCCTTTAAGAGGTGGTGCATAGGTCTGAAGCTGCTGCCACAGCACCACTAAACAGCCATCTCATCTCCCAAGCAGTCTGCCAGGCTCTCTGCATTCAGAACATTGAGGAGCCGTGCTGCGCCCTCCCCTCCGGCTGCTTCCCCCTGACCCCAGCTGTCACGGTCGTCGCTCTCATCTGTGTTCGATTCGTACTCCGATCCGATCCCAGACTCTCTGAAACGAAGCAGCTCCAGGGCTCCCAGGACCTGCTCCCCCGGCAGGGAGCTCTCATCACTGGGGGTCTCCCCCGTGTCCTGGCCTGGTGCTTGGCTGTCCGATCCAAGCGCGGAGAAACGAAAACACTCGAGCCGAACCCCACTGCTGCTGGAGCCCAGAGGAATGGGGTCGGCGCTTGGAGAGCACGGTCCCGGCAAAGCGGAAAACCAGGAGCCGTCGCTGATCTGAAGCTGGGACGGACCCGCGGATGAAGAAGGAGTGAGGGGAGCACAGGGAGCACTGGGGGGTCTGGCCCGGAAGGTTATCTCCAGCAGACTGTCCTGAGAGCCCACTGAGAAGGAGTAAAACAGAGCAGGGAAGGAGGTTTTCGTTATCACGTAAAAACAGAAACGTAAGTCTTAAAATGAGGTCCAAACAAAAGAAAAGTGGGGTGATGTTGACACTGACAGGATCTGATGAGTAATTACTGTGTGGCAGCATTTGGCTGCCGGCTGCAGCAGGGAGAGGAGAGACTCCAGGAAGCCTGTCGTGGGATAGTTAATTGCATGCCAGAGGTGGATGATAAAAGGGAGCCACAACAGGAAGAGGAGTCATGGAATGAGACATGATAGAAGAGAAAAATGTAGTTTAATATAAGAGAGGAAACAAAGAAACGGAGAAATCATTCAAAAAGGAAGCTCTGTGATGGATGAAGGGTTGGGTAGAGAAACAGTACAATGCTGTTTAGAACAGTAACCTTAAAGGTTGGTTTATGCTTGACGCGTCCGCGAGGTCTGCACGGCTCCTCGCGGCAAAATTGCGTCATTTTAACAACCACGCCCCTCCACCGCGCCTCCGCACGGCCCAAACTTTCCGCACCGCGCACCTAGGACATTTTCCAACCACGCGGATGGTTGGACGCGGAAAAAGATGGCGGACCAGCAAGAACTAGTATGGCAGAGGTTCGTAAATACAGACGTTTGTATGATTCAGCTCTCAGAGATCACCGTGATCAACATGTTGTTAATATTTCTTGGAGAGAAATAGCTCGCACTGTCGGAAAAGACGAGGACGCTGTTAAAAATGCTGGAATGCCGTGTTGTAAACAGTAATTTTTACTTCTACTATGGTGTAGTGTTGGATGCATGCCGTAGAGCTCCATGCTGCCCCCTACAGTTTGGTAGAATATTGGCTCACCGCAGAGACAAGCCGCATGAACCATAAACGCTGCGAGTTGTGAAGCGCGTTCCATCCGCGAGCCGCATCACCAAGCGGAAAGTAAATGTGTCAAGCATGAACCAAGCTTTAGCCGGGCGTAAACTGTGCGACTTTTTCACTCGTAGCGCTCAGCTTCAGCTCAAACTGTACGACTTCCTCGCGGGACATATCTCACGAGTCATGCTCACACTGTACGACCCAGTTCTCGGATGCGGCCTGACTGCTCACACTGTACGTCTGGTAGCAACACGTCGGACCTAAAAATATGCTAAAAATAGCAGTTTTTACACAACACGTCAGACTTTTTTGTCTTGCCTGTTGTCCTTCGGGAGTGCTGCAGGAGGACACACAGGGATTTATGGGGGTTGGATGAGGAAAACGAAATAAAGAAAGTAAATCTGTGTTTTGTGATAGTTTAATTTGACATGAACACGACAAACACGCTTTCTTGACAATCTTTGTGAGTAAAAAAACGTGTAGAAACAAAAACGAACAACGTGTGTTATTAGGGAAATAGCGGGGAGCGGCGTTGATGCAGGATTGCGCATGTGCCGTGAGCGGTTCTGATACTTTTTGGGTCGCAGCTGCTCGCAGCGCCGCTTCAACAGTGCGATACCCTCACGAGGGACGAGCGAAATATTAAACACTCCAGAAGTCCGTGCGAGCTCACGATTGCTGATCGGTAGCTGGTCACGTGGTGTTAATCGCCTCTCGTAACCCCCTGTACACGACCGCTCGGCGCTAAACTCGCCCCGATCTCGTGGATTCTCTCACGAGTGGAAAATCGGCTCAAAAAAGTGAAAAAGTCACACGGCGTACGCCCGGCTTAAAAGAGAGCTGAGAATTTAACCCTTGCTGTGTCCAAATAATCTACCCACTGTGCAAAGACCAGTTTAGACGTCCTACAGACGTGGTCTGGACCGCCTGACTCAACATCGACATGATCTGCACGTCCATGCAACGTTAACTGTTTGCAGGGTAACGTTTGTGTGTGAAGAGTTTACTTCATAGACATTATTTAATGACACAGACATCAATGTCTATGGTTTACTTCTTATAAACTCTTCTTCTTATGCCGTTCCTGCAGCTTTACTATGCTGCCTGTGGTGTCACCTGCTGCTTCAGAGGAGGACTGCAAGAGGTGTAGTGCGTTTCAGCGTACACAGACGTTTTCAGTCATTACCAAAAAGCAGACTAGGAGGAAGCTGATATTTTGTCCCTGCAGACTGTTCAAGTCAGAATGTTTGTCTAAAAATGAAGGTTTTATTTCAACCCTCTTTCCCTGAATCAGCTTTTCCGAACGGCTGAATAAACATCCTAAAATCACCTCCTCAGGTAAGATTACACAGGTCCAAACAGTTATAAAGGATTAATACAAATGCTGTGATCTCCACTGTAAAGTATAAAGTCCAGAGGGACCGGGTGCAATGGTATTTTTCACCTTTTCAACGATTATCTTCATTCTGATGTGAAGCCACAAAAAAATACTTGTTGGTTACTTATTTATCCCTAAAAATAAGGTTAAAAGACATCAGAGCCCCTTGAGTGTGCATGTTTTTACTCACTGGACGTTAATCGGCCTGAAGACTTGAGCTCCAGCTCCTGAATCTGTTTGACCAGGAGTGAAATGTGCTGCAGCAGGTCGGTGTTCTGCTGCAGCAGCCTCTGGACCCGGGCCTGGGCCTCCGTCCGTGCACACATCTCCACTGACAGCTGGTCCTGGAGCACATGGACCTGGAACACACATCTCAGTGAATCGTTAAACATCATTGAAGGGATTTAACCACAAATGCTTCCCAAGCCTGTGCTGGCACAAACTTTAATTGATTCAGCAAATTGTGCTGGCTGTGGGGTGAATTTCTGCCAAGAGGACGGAGGGAGGAGAAAGACAAACAAGGAGAACCTGTGCTGAAGCTGCCAGTGCATGCTGCTCCTCCTGCTGCAGTTGCTTCTGAAGCAGCTGGACCTGATGTTCTGCAGAGCAGGAGGCCTCTGCTGCGACCTGACCCAATGCACAGGCTCCCAGCATGGGAGAGCTCAGCAGAAGAGGGAGTTCATCAGACACCTACAGACACAACAATGATAAACTGAGCTCAGCTGCTTTGTTCGGTCCTTTTAAATGATTCCCTGTAACTGACAGTAATTCAACCTTTGAAAGGTATTAAAGGTGTTGAACACTTGTTTAATCAGGTGGGAATGAATGCCTTGTAGGTCGTACAAGGGGGAAGCCCCGTATATATGTCGATGGGTAGTCCTGGTGCACCATTTTAGGGAACCAGAAGCGAGCCAGAACACAGCTGAACTGCAGACAGCAGGATTTGTTGTCTTTTTTTCCTGAGATTTGGACATCTGGGCTCTGATTGGCTAACAGCAACACAACTCCACCACTGACTTCATTTGCTCAACAACATTGATGTTTTATCTCCACAAATAACACAGACCTGAAGAAGTTCTGCTGTGTGGTGGAGTTGCTGATGGTTAGCTTCCACTAGTTCTTTTTCGTGGACGCTGAACCAACAACAGCGTTCCCCACTGCGAGTCAAGATGGCTGAGTCCATTAGTGTTGAAGAGAATATTTAAGAGATGTTCCACCCAAAACTTTGTCTGTAGCTATACAATGGGGATGCAAAAGTTTGGGAAGTCTAGTTAATCTTCATGACTTTGATTTATAAGTTGTTGGTTGTTATGATAGAAAATTTCAGTTAAATACTTTATATCACATAGGAGACACACACAGTGATATCTGAGAAGTGAAACAAAGTTTGTAGGATTTACAGAAAGTGTGCGATAATTGTTTAAACAAAATTAGGCAGGTGCGCAAATTACAAAAAAGAAATTAACTTAATATTTAGTAGATCCTCCTTTGCAGAAACAACAGCCTCTAAACACTTCCTATAGTTTCTAATGAGAGTCTGGATTCGAATTGAAGGTATTTATTTTTGGACCATTCTTCTTTACAAAACATCTCTAGGTCATTCAGGTATTTTTTATTTTTTCCCCCTGTCCTGTCTGGCTGTGAAGCAAACAGAATTGATGTCTGAATGCTGGTGACAAGCTTTACAGATTAACTCTCAGGTGGAGCATCAACGCGTCTGCTTTTAATGTCACGCCTGATACTTAAAACTTTATTGTTGTTGTTTTTGAGTGCTTTGTAATTCCGACCAGAGAGGTGAAAGAGAAAGGAAAAGACAAAAGGTGGTGGTGTGTGTGTGTGTGTGTGTGTGTGTGTGTGGGGGGGGGGGTCCACAAAAATAAACAATAATGAACAAGTCTGCTTCCAGACCTGCAGAAAGAGAGAAGAAAAATAAAACAAAAGCTAAAAACAAACAAAAAAATGGGACACAAGATCAAGCTATCACTGCGTCAACTTGATGAAGAAATATTTAATCAATATTGTTTTACTGAACAATCACACGATAATAAATCACAGTGCATTTAGTGCCAACCACAGCCTTAAGACCTGTGTTGAACGTGCCCAAGTCCATACTTATGAGAGCACCTTGTGAGCACCTGTGTGTGTACACGCACTTGTTTATGTAAGGTTTCTCTATAGGAGCGTCCAATAGAGAGTGTGAGGGGCCACAGATCTGCCCCCTAAAGATGTGCAGGAGACGGAGGGAGCTCCAAGTCCCAGAGATCCAGGCGCTGCCCCAGAGCCCAGGGACCCCAGGAAGACTGTGACCAGAAAAGCCCCCGCCCCCCTCGAGAGGCGCAGAGGATCGCCCCGGGGGGCCGCAACCAGCAGCCGGCAGAGTCCCGGGAGACATCGCGGCAAGCCCACAGGCCCGCCCGCAGCCTCCCACCCCCAAGCCGGTCGAGCCTGGAACCCAGCGACCCGGGACCCAGGGGCACCCACAAACACAGTCACACAGGTCATTCAGGTTTGATGGCTTCTGTGCATTAACAGCTCTCTTTAACTCACACCACAGATTTTCAATAACATTCAGGTTTGGGACTGAGTAGGCCATTGCAGCGTGTTCTAGTTCCTCAGCATGAATGTAGTAGATTCTGTGCAGTGTTTAGGGTTGTTGCCTTGTTGTGTGACAGACTCAGCCTCCCAGCTTACCACCGCTCATCCTATCAACCCCTAGGGCTCCACTTCTCAGTATTCTTAATTCACATCACACCAAGCCTATAGAGAAGTGCCCTCCTCTGCTCCTCACTCAATCATCATTCTTTCTGAAACTTGCTACGAGTTTCCAGGCTCAACAGCCATTTTGAATCCTAACCAATCAATGAACTAGCCGATGCTTTCTGCACACAATAAGTCAGATTTTTTCTTTTACCAAAACCGCCGCACGTCCTCGCTTTTCCCTGAAACCTACCACACCACCGCCCCTCGGAACCCTACCCCTCACCCCAGTCACGACCACAACCTTCTCACCAGGCCCATGAACACCAGAATAGCCAACGCCCTTCACCTTGCGCACCGCCTCTGCCTCCCCGCTCGATACTCTTCCACCGCCTCTCTATAGGACGCACAACCACGGAAAATCACCTGATGACCCCCCCCACCACAATTAGGGCACCTGAGAGTCTCCTCACATGCCCGACCATCATGCCCACCCCCACATTTTTTACACTTTTCTTGCGCAACACACACCCTCGCCACATGTCCAAACTGCTGGCAACAAAAGCAGCACAGAGGAGCCCTCTCAAAAGCCCCAGCCGGATAACTTACATAACCCAACATAACAAAAGAAGGCCAATCCTTCTCACCAAATGTCAGCAGCAAGGGGGTCAACCCACAATCATTAAGTCCCAAACATTTTGCAGCTCTCACCTTGCTGCCTTTCAAATCTCACAACAAGTCTTCTGCCGCAATGTCATTCGGGATATTATATACGACCACCATAACTGCAGACCTGTCTTGCGGCACAAACACAGCGACCTAAACCCCCAGGAACTGTTAAAGCTTCAGCTCCTTGGCTAGTTGAGCCTCTGAACAGCATACCAGCGACAATGTCCCCCCAGACAACTAGTGGGCCATTCCCATCTGTGCCGAGTCGGCCCGGGCCGAGTAGCGTAGTTTGTTTACATATCTGGGTGGCCTGGTATTTTTCCGGGTCAACCAAGGCTCATTCTCAGCCCTCTTCTCGAGGGGGTCTGCTTCAGGCCGACCAGGGCCAACACACCCACTGCTGACAGCAAATTCACACCTTCCATTAGAGCAAGCCTCTGATTGGTGGGTAGAATCAGCCCGCATGGGCTTAAGACAAGGATGTGTGGAATCAACCGGGCCAGGCTGGGGCCGACTGGGGCTACCCGGCCCGGGCCGACCCAGTACAGATGGGAATGGCCCAAAAGTCGCATCCACAACCTTACCTACCTTGTCCTTCAGCTCCTAGGAGAACTTAATTGGGCTCGAGGCAACAAACCCTCAGCCTGACACCGCACAAATATGGACAGCCAGGCCCACTGCACCTGTTCCATCCGTCCTCCTCTGCTTAGCCGTACCATCCACGCCCAGACCCTCCGGCGACGAGTCGCTCCGAACTCACTGATCCCTCTTAGACGCACCTCAATCCTCCACCGCCGTTGGCGTTGACCCAGATCCCACTACAGCCTTCCTCCCACCCTCCCCAGAATGAAGATGACCCGGACCACAGCCGTGTTATCGTCGTACTGGGCCTGTACAGGCCGTCGGCCGATATCCCGAACTCCCCTCCAGGCCAACCCAGACCGAGCAAAACACCTGTCCACACCCATGCCCAAACACAACCAACCAAACAGCACAGCCAAAAGCCTTCCAGGAGCTCAAAGCTAGCCGCTCAGACCCGGTCTGCCTTCACGGTCCAACAAGAGGTGAAAATATGTTGCTTTTAAGCTTAATATTTTACCTTTACTTATGACCAATAAGATGTGATATTCTATATAAATATAGGAGGATATCAACCTGATTGATCTTTGAATGTTTAGTCAGAAGAATTAGGATTCTTTGCTTTTTCTATGATCAAACACACTTCGTATCAATTCAGACAGTCAGGTTTATAAAAAGTAAGAAATTCATTTTCTAAACAAATTAAAAACAAGACTATAAGTGATGGTTTATAAAACGGCATCAGATGCAATCTTGCTGTGTTCTACGTACCCCTGAGGAGACTCTCTTTCGGATCAGAGATGTCGGGGGGGTCGGGCACAGAAGTTTGTAGAAAAAACTGCAGTACGACCAGGTCGGTCCTGAGTCGTCTCATGGATCACAACAGGTAGTTGTTTGCGTCTATGGAAAGATGGACTCTGAAGGAGTCTTGGCTGTGTTCTGAAGGAGCAAGTTTCTGTGTCGCTGCAGCGTGCAACAGGTTTGACAGCTTGTCAAGAGATGCGGGAGTTAGAGAGTTTCCTCCAGCGGCCAGTCCGGAGTTTGGCTCAAAAACTAACTGAATCACCCAGCAAGTGATTCTGTTTTAACAATCGCCATACTATGATTACATGGCCGACCAGAATTTGACATGTAAAGGGGTTTTACCAACCAACCTCAGATACAGGAGCTCTGATTTGTGGATCAGGAAGCAATGTGTCATGAGATTACTTTAGTCATGTGTATGAGTGTGTGCTTGTCAAGTCACGTACGCTGAAATATCTGGGTCACATATTTCATTTCATCCTTATTACACTAAGCACAGATTACTCAATTCAATTCAATTCAAAGATACTTTATTAATCCCAGAGGGAAATTAGAGTTTCAGTACACACAATTCAGAGATCAGACATACATGGGCAAGACACATGACAAGAATTGGTGACTGTGGTCATTCGCAACCCTGAGTCGCGCTACCTTAATAGAGATAAGAGGGTTACATGAGGAATTGATTCGGTAGGAGGGAAAAAAAGGCACTTCACAGCTACCCTCCCACCAGGAGGGCAGCTTTGCTCTGCAAAAAAAAAAAAAAACCCACCTCAGACAGATATGCAACAGACTTCAGACGACACAACATAGATACTCCAATAGGAAGGCGGGGGGGCTGGGATCTTGTTCCCCCAGCAAGAGCAGCCACGTACAGCGCTCAGCCACTGTAGCCACAGGTGGGAGGGAGGTCTCGGAAGAAGCACAGAGCACACTGACTC